ATTTTAAGAGACGACAGGTACGGGGGGATTTTTTGCTCTTCTTAATAGTTTTCCTCTGTAGGACGCATCCTCGTTTCGTGGAACAAATTCAAAGGGAGCGGAATGGAGAGCGTCGGTCGTAACGAATAAAAGTGATCGGCGTTGTCGTCAGCGTGGAGATTAAAGTCGACGAGAAATAAAAGCTGGTCGTTCGTTGGGAAAACAGTACGGGTGGCCAGAGAGTAGGTACATACGCTCACGGGAGGCGTCGATGCATAATCGGAGCGCACCCTCCCGTGGCTATCCGTTTTATTTATCCGATAACACGCCATTATGGGCGAATCGCGGATGCGGCTGTGTCGGTAACGATTGGCTATTTATAATAACACGTGGCATATGGGTAATTAGTTGCGCGTAAGCCGCGCTGAAAAACCGAACGGTGGCGTACGTGTCCAGAAAAATTACTGTCGTTTTTCATCCCGCCTCAAAATCCATTATTTTAGCTCTTGATTTTTCTCTCGCGCCGGCCTCTATGCCACGCCGTGCTGCATATAAACCGCGCGCAATTAACGTTTTGTAAAATCCCGCTCTTTCGTGACTCCCGATCGACTTTGACGCCTGTTTTGCCACGACGCGCAAGTATCTCGCACGAACAAGTAATTACGTTAATTCGATCGATGTTCTCTTTCGCTTCTGATATACCGACAACGACCACGTACACGATAACGGCGAGGATGAAGACGAAGAGACGACGAGGAGGAATCGGCCGGGACGGAAGACGCGGTAAATTCGCGCGGAATGGAAAGACGATGGCGATCAGCGGACCGGAAACACGTCGGGCAAGGCGAATCGAAGCGACAGACAAGGTGGCAATCGCAAAGAAGGCGATAGGTAGCAGTAACCAGGCGATTATAAACACTCTACTCTATTAACTCTTGCCCCTTTTTCTCCCTTTTCCTCTTTTCCTTCTGCACAGGCTAACAGGCGACTAATGGCGATAGGATAACGGAGGCAAAAAACCTGGACAAAAATTCACGTCGCGGGCACGCTGAACGGGAACGTCTGACAAAGAAACGGAGAAGAGCGACGCTTCCGGTGCACTGGAGTCCTTCTGACGCGTGTCCGGTTGGTTGGCGCGGAATACCTTCCTCCTATGCATGCTCTCTCGACAAAAATTCGCGCTTTTTTCCCTCTCTTATTCAACGTTTACACGTTACCCTCCTTTTTGCCCTACGCTCTGTTACAGTTCTCTGACGACGGCGACGACGACCACGCGCGAACAATGACGAGGGTTACGTAACAGCTATGCACGAGAGAGGCAGCCGCGTTCTCTGCTTGCGCTTCGCGCTATTCTCCCGTGCGGGGTGGCCAATGAGCAGTAACAGGAACGCTGCACGCGAACCGCACTCTCGTGAACGCTCCAACAATGCGTATCATACTCGCTCGACTTGCCTGAAAATCCGTCTGTCGTCGATCCGCTCGCGTTCTTCCGCTCCGCGACGGCGTTTCCCAGGTTGCCGGAAAATTCGAGGCAAACCGCCCGGACGCTGTGCTACTCGCCACGAAAATGGATACAGCCGAGGTAGAAGGGGATTCGCGGGGTAGACGAAGTAGCAACTTTATATTAACAGCGTTTCTTGCTTCTTTTTCAGCGCGAGAGCTGGTACAGGACGCAAACAACATCGCGAACGAAATTGTTCTCCGGAGGCCGGGCAGAGGGACACGGAGACCGTTAGCCGGGGCACGTTCAAAGTCGTAATCTCGCGAGTTCGAGATATTTTCTCGTGACCGCAAAACAAGAGGAGGCAGCGGTTGCTTGGACGAGCGAATGCATCGGGCTGCTCGGCCCAACCGACGGGATTGTCCTTCATTACGCACGAAGGAAAGTGCAGTCATCGACGTGCATACCCGTAGGTATGCACACAGAGGCATTAGCTCCCCCAAAGCCAACCGGTATTAATTCCACTAATTGGACGTGGTTTGGTTCGTGGCAAACATCGGTCCCCTACCGATCCTCGACCTTCCTCGGACGGAGGGACTTGGATCTCGGGATCGATCGCCTTTTCGCCGCAAACAATGACTTTATCGTCGATGCAAACTAATACCCTACCTCTCTCTTTTCCTCTCTTTTACCACTGTCGCGTATCTTTTCACCTTCCAGTGTCACTGTATCCGTATCAAAGAGGATGCGACAACCGCGATGTCGGATACCTTCTGCATCCTCTTCGAGAGGCCGGAGAGGAAGACCGGAGTGGAAGGTAAAAAGACAGTCGGAGAAGTTTGAACGGGAAACGGTGGAACGGCAAGACGATCGAACCCCCCTCGGATGAGCCGCGATGGTCAATGAACGTTAGGCCCAGGGGGTCTCGTTTCGTTTGGGGTTGCACGAGGTCAAGGGATCAGCTGCGGTGGAGCAATACGTGTGCGAAGCCTGTTACGTATATACGTGTATATACTCGTAACAAACGCGGAGGGTCTTTCCTCGTAGATCTGGGTCACCGGGCTGATGAGGACTGATCGGGGGTTGACCGCTAGAAGAAGGCTAAACGGTGCCTTTTCCCTCTTACTCGCTACTTTCTCACCCATCTCCACGCAGTCTTTCGACTCTCGCCTATGACGAGTCAATCGAGCACCGTGTGTCTTCCCCTCGCAGCGTAATTTCTCCTTCCATCCCGATGCACACCTATCCGGAACGTACGATCGGAGTGAATCCGCGGCGTTCTTTCGGAGTTTGGGAAAATGAAGAAGAGGGGACAAGAAAGAGCGGCTAATCGGGCACGGAGCGAAATTGCGTGGTTTTCGCGTGGCGAAATAGAAGGAGGATAACGGGGGAAATTAGCGACAGAGCGGAGAGAAGGTTTGGGCACGGAGAGCCCGCGGGGAAAGTCGGGACGTAAGAGAAGCATCGGTGGATACGGACGCTTTAGGTATGGTACAAAGATATTAAGCACTCATACTCGGAGCTTACCGAGAGAGCCGCGGAGAGTGTCGGGTATGGTATATCGCGTATGCCGCGGGAGGAGGAGCAGCGGAAAGGTGGTAGCGAGGGTTGGGGGAGGGTCGGGCGCGGGGAGGGCGGGCAGGAGCGAAAGAGGGTGGCGGAGGAGCAGACAGAGATCGCGAGGAAGCAGAGTTAGCTACAGAAGAAATAAGTGCGCTCGTGTAATGCTGATGGCGAATATGGTAGAGGAGAGATCCGAGGGAACGGCGAAGAAGAAGGTGGCAGGGAGGATAGGCTCTCTCCGCGGGGTCGGAGAGGATGCAAGTAACGGAAGGGGGACCCCCCGCGCGCTCGGAGTCCGACCGATCGATTCGAACGCCGGCGACATTCTTCGTCGTACGGACAGAGAACCGAGGAACAGGGAGAAACCGAGAGAGACGGCTGGGGGCATGTTGGAAGAGAGAGCGCGGGAGCGAGAAAGAGAGAGTGACGGAGAATAGGACGGGCGCGAAAGAGGAAACGAGGTGGAGACTACCGCTGGTCGCGCGAGAGAGCGCGTGTTCGAGAGAGCGTATAAGCCATAAGCCAAGGTGGGAGGAGAAGCTGGAAGAAGAAGTGGGAGGGAGCTACGAAGAGGCAGGCAGTGAGAGTAGGAGAGAGGTCTCATTCGTTCGAGATAGAGAGGGCACGAGTGCGTGCGAAGGGAGAAAGAGAGAGAGAGAGAGAGAGAGAGAGAAAGTAGAAAAATGAGAGATGGAGAGACAGACGGATATATAGATACATGGATAGATACATGGATAGATGGATAGATATATAAAGAGAATCAAAGACCGAAAGAGAAATAGGTATATATATATATACAGGCAGGATATACAAGCAAAGAAGCGGGTGAAAGAGAGGAAGGTAGCTATGGGGGTGGTTCGAGTTCAGGGGGTGGCGAATAGAATAGAACGGAATAGAAGAGAGGAGAAGAGAAGGGCAAAAAGAAGAGAAGCAAACGGAAGATAGGAAGGAAAGAAGACGAGGGAGCGAAAAGTAAAAGGAGTGCAAGGGGTTGGTGGTAAAGGGAAGAGAGTGAAACGGAAGAGTGGCGAACGGTAGAGAAAAAGAAACGGGAGGGCTATCTGGTGTAGAAGAAAGCAAAAAGGGGAAGAGAAGAAAGGAGAAAGAAGGAGGAGGAGGTGGTGGAGGAGGAGGTGGAGGAGGGAAGAGCCGAAACGCGACAAGGAGCGGTGGGGTGGGTCCGTGCTAGGGGGAGGTTAGGTTTAGGTGAGGCGAGGCGAAGAGGAACGCGGGCGGCTCGGGAAGGCGCGGGGAGGCGAGCTGAGAGAGCAAAGGGTGGTGGAGGGAGAGGTCGCGAGGAAAAAGAAGAAATCCCCACTCGTAGCGCGTAGATCGGCGGTAGGTTCGAATCGTACTGTCTTGTCGAGACTCGCGTCTGCGTCTGGATGTCTCCGTGTGTTAGTCGCCCCCGGAATCGTCCCGGTCGGCATCGTCGGTGCGCGTCGTCGGTGGCAGAGGTTGCCTCGTAGTGGGGAATACTCGCTTGTCCCGCCACCAGCCGAGGGAAGGTTCGAAAGGCGTCGACGGTACGAGGTTACCGTCCAATAGGGAGAACTGCCACCCCGGTGGCTCCGCCAACCGGATAGTCGGTTGCGCGCACAGAACGCCCATCCTCCCCGTTTCTCGGGCTCCCACTGATGTTTTTATTTATTACATCTGTGACTGGGTAGGGAAATACTCCCGACTCGACCGAGAGAGCGTTTGCCACTTTGAGAACGAGCGACGCGCGTCCCTGCGAGTTACCGCCGCAGCCGCAGCCGCTTTCGTCGTCGTCGTCGTCGTCGTCGCCGTCGTCGTCGTCGCCGCCGCCGTCGCCGCTGCTGCCGCCGCCGTCGCCGTCGTCATCGTCGTCGTCGTCGTCGTCGTTCGTCGTCGCCGCCGCCGTCGCCGCTGCTGCCGCCGCCGTCGCCGTCGTCATCGTCGTCGTCGTCGTCGTCGCCGTCGTCGTCGTCGCCGCCGCCGCCGTTGCCGCCGCCGCCGCCGCCACCGCCGCCGCCGCTGTTGTTGCCTTCGTCGTTGTGTTCGTTGTCATCGTCGTCGTTGTCGCGGTCGCTATCATCGCGACAGCATCTCCGTCGTCGTTACGTTCGCGGTATACGTTGCCGATCGTGCGCGTCGCGCGTTACTCGTCGACGCCGTCCTGCCTGTCGTAATCGTCGTCGACGACGGTGCGGTTATCCACGCGTTTCACGACGCGACGAACATTGTCGCGATATCGCGTTGTTCGGTGGCCGTCGCTGTCGTTGCCGCTTCCGTCATCGCCGCCGCCGCCGTCGTCGCCGTGTGTATCAGTTTCGTCAGTGAGAACAGAAGCACCTACGCGTCGCGAAGGAAAATTCGTGGTTGGTGAATCGTTGAACGGGGGGCAGCTCGGCTGCTCCTCGAGCGAAGCCGACCAGCATCACGCGGAACACGGACCTGTCCGCGACGAGCACGAAGCCGTGGTCGAGGCCCGTATCGAGTGACAACGGTCAATTGTCATGGACACGGTTGTTCCAGTGGTTGTGCACAGTGAAGTTGTTACCTATGTACATGGGCCAACGTACTCCGTGAGACGCGAAAGTTTACCCGAGTGACAGTGACGCTTGCGAAGAGCCGATTCCTGGTGGCCGATCCTGGATCGACGCGAACCACCTCGTCGGCTGGTTCCGGCAGCCGAACGAGCTAGAATCGGTACGAAGGAAAGAGGAAGGAGAGGTGAGTCTAATATGCGTTGACTCGTGACCGGTAACCCGAGTTCTTCGTATCTCGTGGTATCCACGTGGCGAGAACCGAGGTGAGAGCAGAGAGAAAGAGAGAGAAAGAGAGAGAAAGAGAGAGAGAGAGAGAGAGATAGAGAGATAGAGAGAAAGAGAGAAAAAAAGAGAGCGAAGATTGAGGAGATCTGGGAGGAACGGGCGAGGTGGAGTTTCCAGAGGAAAGGCAATACCAAAACGGACGGAACGTGGTCGATAAGACGGGGACGCGTGACTTTTGGAGCGCCGATGGATCACGGAGCGATGGATAGCGCTTCCGATCACAGCAGCCGCGCCAGTCCCATAACCGGCAGTCCTAAACATCCGCACAGCCCGTCGGCTCAACAAAGTCAGCAACAGCTTCACGGGTCCCAGCATCAACCGCCGCCGTCGCATCAGCAGCCTCATCCGCGGGATCAGATCCGCGAGCAACAATCGCAACAGCAACAGCATCGCGGCGTTCCCACGCCGGGATCGCCGACCAGAGGCTCGCCACCTCAAGGACTTCCGTTGAGTCCACCGCCTCTTTCCGCCGGAGGAGCACCCGGTGCACCGCCAGGCATGGTACCCCGTATGCCAGGCCTACCGCCACCGGGTCTCGGGCTGCTGGGGCAACTCGGCGGCATGCTCAGCGGTCATCATGGCTCGCCTCTCGAGCTTATGGCTGCCCATCACGCCGTTCTGCCTCCGAGATCGTACAACAGTCCGCCACCGATCAGTACCAGCGATCCCACGGCGAACGAGTGCAAACTGGTCGATTATCGCGGGCAGAAGGTGGCCGCGTTCATCATCGCAGGGGACACGATGCTCTGCCTGCCGCAGGCGTTCGAGCTCTTTCTCAAGCACCTCGTCGGTGGCCTGCACACCGTCTACACGAAGCTCAAGAGGCTCGATATAGTGCCGTTGGTGTGCAATGTCGAACAGGTTAGGATTCTGCGTGGACTCGGAGCCATCCAACCGGGCGTCAATCGATGCAAACTGCTCAGCTGCAAGGACTTCGACATACTGTACAGGGACTGCACCACGGCCAGGTAAGCTAGAAACAAGCATGCAACTTAGGATTAAGTCCGATTAAGGCGCGAACCTTAGCCTAGATCCGAAAAACCCGCGGCGATCGAATCATCGATCGCGCACGCTCCGTCCGAACCTTCGAACCTTCCTATACACCGTTCTACGAAATTGGCCCGGTCTCTCGATCACTCGCGACGATAAGAACGATCGTATAGAGCCACCTACGGTTGCTCGTGCGCTTTTTGTAGCTCCTGTTGCCGAGAACGGAAGCTACGATCCTCGCGTGTATTAATAACACCCGGTGTCGCCTCTGGGCAGCACTTTATCTTCGGCCAGCTACGTTCCTTACCGGGCTACCGGTCGACCAAAAAATATTTTAATCCTCCGTTGCCTTCTTCTCGACACGCGCTCCATTTACTCTTAACCAACATCGCGCAACGCTTCTCTTCGGCTCTCCATACGACTCCACCATTTTACAATCCATCACCTACGCGTTTCGATCCCTCGAATCGGTCACGCTCTCTTGTCATTCGTTTCTCTCGTTTCGGTTAGCTCTACCGATCATTTTCCATCCTCTCTTCTCTTCTTCCTTCTCTCTTTCTCTCGTTCTCGCTCACTCTCTCGATCGGCAGTCCCATCCACGGAAAAGGAGGCTGTGGTAGAGGCACGTGCCCTTGTATCTGGAATTGTCAACGGGCCTCCGTGCCAACAGGTGTCCCTTTCACGGCAGTTTCTCTGAATGAATCGTCCCCACCGACGAGACAGAGAGAAGTGGCTGTAGTACAAGCTTACCCCACCCACGAGTCAGACGGCAGACGAAACGGAATGGTAAACGGAACGAGGGGATCCGGTGTTATCGGGGAAATTATTGTCCCCGACTTTACAGTCCTCCTACGCGTCCTCCGCCCCAACAGTTTCCCTTTCCGACCCCGCTCGCCATTGTTTTCTCACCTCGCTAAACCGCCGTGCACCGAAATCGCGATTTATCGAAAGGGTTGAGGTCCAAGTGGAATCGATTCGACGGCGAAACGCCGACGTCGGGGGACAATAGCATCGCGGCGAGCAGCGCGCAGTGGCAGTCGCAACGGAAACGGATTCAGCGCGACACACACGCACACACACACACACACATACACACAGAGGGCGAAGGAGAAAGAGAACCGAGGGATAGCGAGCGGAGTGAACAGGGACGGGAAACAGAGGGACAGGGAGAGAAAGAGAAAACGGGAGGAAGGAGAGAGGTATAGGGATAGGGATCCGAATAATCCGACTCGTACTCCGAGAACAGAGTTGGCCGAGCCGTCGGCTCGTGCGCTTCAGCCCTTTATCGCGCCGCTCTCTTTCTCCTCTCGACTAAATACCTCGTGCGATCTCGCAACGATAGCTGTATCATCGGTCTATCTATCGAAAATCCATCCAATCTTTCTAACCTTTTCGCCGTTGCACGCGTAACAGACACCCTAGGATCGTGTCACTATCCTAGACAGGCGTCTTCGACGCGGATCGGAAAGCGAAAGTTCTCTGGCGTAATGGTACCGCGCGATGCGCGAAATAACCGGGGATCGAGTTTGCGGGGATAGGCGGCAGCGCGTTGTTGGAAAATCGATGGGAAAAACGAGAGGGGACAGGATCGAGGGGGTCGGGAGAGGGCGGGAGAGTGGCGAGGGAGGATCGCCAGGAAAAATCGGATGATTAAGAGACCGCGGTATGGTTCTCGCGTGTGCGGTCCAGGCTGGTCGCGTGTACCGCTGACGTCGTTACATTCTGATAATGCACGGCAGTGGTAACAGCGGCAACGGCTACACACCGATGTTCCATCCATGGACCGTTGGTCCGCGCGCACGGTTACACGGTCCTCCTGGCCGTGGCCAGCGCGCTTCTATCGCCATCGATGCAACAGCATGCACCGAGAACCGCACCGATAATTCAGGGGGATTTTTCTTGCGGTTTATAGCGTGGCACCGGCTGCGCTGCAACGCTCGCTTCCTCGTGTTCGGTCGTCGGGGCCCACCCCCGGGACCCCGGTCGGCGCTGGACGCCCCTTTGGATCGGTGGACGCAGCAGCGCCTACGCGAGAATCGTCACCGCGTTGTCCCCGATTCCGTTCGCCGAGTCGCTCGGCTGGCACGCCGCTCTTTTCTTCTCGGATACGCCTAATTGATGCCATATACGCTCGCTAACGAGACTAGCCAATTATCCTCGTCAATTTGCTCGATTCTGGCCGAGCGGTGTGGATCGCCGCGAAACGTCCGCGTGTCCCGATTGCGTTTCATCGAAACCACGGGAGAACGACGGCAGAGGAAGGTAATACCACTAGGCAGACGAGCGAGCGAGCGAGCGAGCGAGCGAACGAGCGAGCGAATAAGCGGTAGATCGCGATAAGAATCCGCGCACACGAACGAGATTTCCTCGTTTCTGTCTTCTTCCTTCCCTTCTTCCTTCCCTTAAATGTCTTTCTCGCCGCGTACGCGTAACCCACGAACGCAGCAGGATACGTGGGAGTGCGCGCGGCCCTGGACTATAATTCTATGCGCTATTAGCCGTTTAATTATAAAATTGTGCATAGATTAATTGGCTCCCGTAATGGCCCTAACAATGCACAGACGCGCACTCGGAGACTAACGGAGAGAGAAAGAGAGAGAAGGAGGGTAGGAAGGAGGGTTGGGGCGGGGGGAGAGAGAGAGTCTAGTTGCATCGGGGGAAGAAAGGCGCGAGTGGGAGGTCGGGAGGAGGAGAGATCGAAAGAATACAGCGGCAAAGGAGGAAGAGAGAAGGACAGGGAGGAGGATGGTGGCGGGCCGAGCAGGGAGGAAGCATCGTTATTAATATTTATTTCCTTGGCTCGTTCCTCCCAACTCTCCTCTCTCTCGTTGTTGCCGTGTGCTTATGCACAATCGCGTCTCGAGTCTAGGTACGCGATTAAATGGGTACGCGCTTTCGAGTTAAGCGCGCGCACACGCGTCGGCTCCTCTCGCGAAACGCCTCGTATGGAAAGTAGTACGATTTCCAAATCGAAGCGGAAAGGAAAGGAGGAAGAGGCGGCGATAGGCACGAAGCAGAAGGAGCCGCGGAGAAAGATCCTTCGTGAAATCCTGCTTTTCCCAGCCGAGCAATTATTCCATCGCTCGAGTACCGAGAGTTCCCGTGGTCCGTTCGCGACGATCCGACCGCGATGCTTCCATTTATCTTCCGCCGAGAACTTATCCGCTCGGCGATTGTATCGAATCGCAGCGCAGCTGCGACGGCCGGCTCGTCGGTTTTTCCTTTTTCTCTCTTCTTTCACCGGTTTCATAACCCACGCGCTCTCTCCGCTAGGCAGCTTTGCGTTTTTAAGGGCTTCTATTATTGTCCGGGGGTTGCTTTTGACACAGATACGCGTACACGTTCCGTGCCGCGCTTTTCGTCCATCATCCTTCTCCTACACGCTCCGTGTTTTTCCCTTTTCCCGTTGCCACACGCTGTGCAATCCGGTGCTAGTGGTGGTAGCCATGGAGCGGTTTTTTTTTTTTTTTTACCATCCGCATCGTTCCATCGTTGCCGACAAGAATTTCGTGCCGCCGCTTCAGCATCCCGCTAACGAACGCGCGCGATCCTCCGCTTCCAGCCGACTTCTCCGCGCACCGACCACCACCGACACCACCACCACCACCATCACCACCACCACCACCACCCGATGAAGACACCTTTTCCGGCCAAGGGACATCGATCCGAGAGTATATATACTTGCGCCGCAAACCCGACGCCAGGCTTTTTCTTTCGAACCTTCGCTCCGGCCACCCCTCCGCGAAGCTCGAACCCTACCCCAGCCGACCGAGCACCGAGTCCGGTAATTCTCGGTAATTAATAATCTGCAATAAGTAATAATCGAGCCAGTAATCCGGCCGGTGCGCCGCGACAAGCAGCGTTCTTAATTCTAGATAATTAACGTAAAGACAAACAAGAAGGATTAACCGAACCTTCCGCGTCTCTCTTTATTTTTCAGCCGTCCCCTATTATCGTCTCCCTCTCTCTCTCTCTCTCGCTCTCTCTTTCTCTCGTCTTTCCGACAATTTCCCTACCATCTTAACCTAACTTTTCCTTCCACCCCTCTGCTCCCTGTCCCGCTTCTCGTCCCCATCGTTTCACCGTCGTTTCATCGTCGTTTCACCGTCGTCGGCCGGCTGCAGGAATCCGCTTCCTCGTCTTTTCTCGGCCAACCAACCACTCCTCGTGGTATACTCCGGAAAGAAGCGTTCGATTTCGCGTCTCCTCGCGGAAAAGCGCGAGCAAACTCGGCAGAGAGGCGAGTAAAGGATCTAATAATAAACGCGGCGGCGGATGGAATCGCGTTGCTCGCGAACTACGCGAATTCATAGAAGGTAGAGCAGCGCAGGGGTCTGACGGGAGGGGAAAAAGCGAGGAGGAAGTCGAACGAAAGCGCCTGTGGCTAGGATCGCCGCCGATTCCTCTTCGTGCAGGCCGCGATACGGATGCAAGTCATCTCGGGGGTCGGCATTGTATCGTAACGGCGCCAGGCTCCCGTTCCGTGACTTCTCGTCTTTCTTCTGTTCGTGCCACCGATCTATCGGTGTTTCCCGTATTTCTATCTGTCTGCCGGAATCCGAGTTAAGTTCACGGGATCTCGGCCGACCCGTTGCATTTTCGTGCGCCTCGCCGACCAACGACGATCGACGTTCCGCGCTTTATCTGAATTATGCGCGTACGATCTGGAAAGTTCGCTTATTACGAACGCGTGTAACAGCGCCGCAAGTAAAACAATACGAATTCTTCCGTTGCATTTAAATGCAACACGGTATCCTGCGAAGTATTATTACGTATCGACTTTGTTCGGCTATATATAGAACGTTCATACATACAATAAAGTAGCGCCTATAGAAAAGTAATCAAGAAGATGGTAAATGGGCGTGACGCGGCATTAATTGCTGTTACGGAGCCACGTAATGAAAGAAATGTTTAATTTGACTTAAAATAGCTTAATTAAAAATAGATTTAATAGGCAAGGGAATAGGAGAAGGAATGG